TGCAGCTTATTGCTGCGGTAAAGCTAAGGTGTATTTTGGGGCCATAACTACTTTATTACTGAGAGAGATGTCTTGCATTGCATTAATTTTATTTTTCTGATGCATACAGACTTCACAAAGTGGACTTTTCAAAGAAAAGAATTGAAAACAAATAATAAAATGACTTTTTTTTATTATTATTATTACAATAAGCCCTTTGGAGTGTTAAGTGACTTCAGTAGAACCTCAGTTACGAACACCTCAGGAATGGAGGTTGTCCATAACTCCTGAAAAAAACGTTATGGTTGTTCTTTCAAAAGTTTTCAACGAACATTGACTTAATACAGCTTTGAAACTTTACTATGCAGAAGAAAAATGCTGCTTTTAACCATCTTAATTTAAATGAAACAAGCTCAGAAACAGTTTCCTTATCTTCCTGGATCTTTTTTAAAGCTTTCCTTTTATTTATTTGGTAATTTTCTTTTAACACAGTACTGTTCTGTCTTTGTCTTTTTTTGTCTCTGCTGCTGCCTCACTGTACTTCTGGTTCCAAATGAAATGTGTGGTTGACCGGTCAGCTCATAACTCTGAAGTTCTACACCACTCTGCCCCGAAGGAACCATATCTAGAGATGAATAATAATAGTAATAATGCTTTGAGTTAACCTGTATATAGTGCTTTATATTTTGATTACATAGAACACACATGCAAGGGTGGATTCAGTATGTTTGGATTCATGAGTGCTCAGCACAAGTAGAATGGAAGCAGTCTGCCTTCTTTCCAGCAAATTGCACTGGATTCTGGGCATCTTAACTGTAAGTGTCAAAAGCTTTTGTGTTTTGAAAGTTTCAGGATCAAATAGGTAATCTGTTGGTATCTTGAAGGACCTCTCTGTTGCAGGAACACTTGGAAGACTCTTATCCCCAATGCCCTTAGTTATTTCCCTTGGGCACGTGGGTTCTTAACATAATCCAATGGAGCTATAGGATCAGCTTTGTAGAAATTCCTCCAAATTGATCTCCTCAAAATGTACTTTAGCTCAATAGCATGAGGAAGAAGCACACCAGGAGAACTAATCTCTCCTGGCCTGGAGTGCCACCAAACACATGCCATCATGCTTCAGAGGAAAATGGTTTTATTCTATGTATGTCTCAATACTCAGAATGTCAGAAGAGCTAAGGGTCCTTCTGATTCTGAAACTTCAGTTCTTATTCCTATAGAAAAATCTTGATCTGAATTACAAAAATGTTTCCAGAGCAAATATCTTCTGTATACAAAATATTTGAGAACACTTCATGTTAAAATGAATGATGATGAGCTTCAGAATGACTTGCATATGTACTCTATTCAGTTCGCTAACATGGGAGCTATTAACAATGTTGCCTTTTACGCTTGAAATATTATTTATATATTACTGTAGTGCATAACAGTCCCAGTTATGAACCAGGATCCCGTTATGTTAAGCACTGTACAACCACAGAACAAAAAAGACAGTCCATTGACTCCACATGTCTTTTTACAAAACATTTGGTAGCTTTGGCCATATATCAACACAGAATGGGAGCCACACATGCTTTTCCATAGCAGTTGAGTGACAAGTAGCTTCCAAGTTACTTTGCCCCTTGAATGCCCCAGAACTAATCTCCAGTTAGAAAAGGACTTTCAAATTCCATTTTCCCCTGTAGAACCCATAGATGCACCCTCCAGAAAAAATAAGTCTATGCAAAGGTGCGTTGGGTATTTGCATCCAATGTATTTGGTCTTTCCAGGAGCATCATCTGCACAAAAATGGTCTGGAGTTAAGGGTGGTCCTCAGTGTATTCAGGAACCTTCAGAAACTCTATCCTAAAAAGCTGACCATATGAATTCGTGCAATCAGGACAGTATGTTCTATATAAACAAATAGGGGCAAACTCAGATCTCCTTTGATAGGGAGGTGTACAAGTGCAGTCCTTTGTCCCATAAAACATTTCTGGCTGCCCCTTTAAGTGGCAAGAAAGGAGAACAATGTCACATCAGCTATGCCTGAGTAGAGTTAATGGTTCTGAGTGATCTCTCATTCCAGGGATAATGGACCGCCCCATAAGTACCATTGTGATGAATACATTAGAAATACATGGGATAGTGGACTGTTGGAAACATCAGCCATAATATTCATGACACCAAAGGTCATAGCACATGTGGCTTGTACTATAAAGCTTCTTGAGCTTATTGAATCTTTCTGGTCCATTGCAGCACTCCCTCTTTGTGCTGTGCATTGTCACGTCAAACATAAAAACATGGAAGGTTTCAGAGTAACAGCCGTGTTAGTCTGTCTTTGCAAAAAGAAAAGGAGTACTTGTGGCACCTTAGAGACTAACCAATTTATTTGAGCATGAGCTTTCGTGAGCTACAGCTCACTTCATCGGATGCATCCGATGAAGTGAGCTGTAGCTCACGAAAGCTCATGCTCAAATAAATTGGTTAGTCTCTAAGGTGCCACAAGTACTCCTTTTTCTTTTTATAAAAACATGGAAGTCAT